CGCGAACGGAGCCATGTATCTGAACGGGATCACCCCAGCGCGGCGTTAGGTCCCATGATATCGGCAGACTTTCCCACCTTCTGCTAGCTAGTAGGGAGCTAACTTACCGAACGGACCTCTGTCCAAGATCGTTGACCTCACAGCCTCAGAGTATGGCAGACCGTCATGCCTTCTTGGTTTGTGAGATGCGTCGTAGCATGCCATTTAGCGGTCATTCCACATGCTTTGACCTCACCTGGCCTCCGCAAGGCCGCTGAATTATGCGCGGTCAAGACAGGCAAGGACGGACTGCCGTTTTAGACCTGCATTGATCTAATCGTGCTAGCCTGTCGAAATGTCGCATTACATACAATTATATGAGAGATGTGGATGGATGTATTTATTGCAAACGGGTCATCGTTTATGTAGGTATTTGTAGATGGCAGCTTTTAGTTTGCCCTCAAACTCTGGTGACGCTGTCATGCAGAGGCATGGCAGCGTTTGAATTAATCTCCCTTGATATACAGCTTGGCCTCTGCCCAAGACCTTGCAGCGTTATACTAACTGATTGATCGATCGTAATTTGCCTAGATAAACCGAAGTGCTTTTTCAACCCCGTTGTCGATAAGCCCACATAAGTGTACAAAGCTTCGACTTCAAATGGCATCATGGATCGCGAATAATTTTGTCCACAAATTTAGCTATGCTTAGTGCTGACTGCTGAGCTCTCCTGCCACAACACATCGGTTTGCTATTTCGAACACTGCTCTCCAGACGGGTCCAGGTTCTCAGGGTCTTGACTAGGGGCGAAAAAGGAGAGACAGCGTGATGCTGTTCTTCTCTTGCATCTCCTCACCGCCGCGCCGGCGTCTCTCAAAACGGACCGGGATGACCCGGAGATCGTCGGCTCTAGCCCGCTGTTCGTTCGGCCGAAATTATGGCGGTTGCGTCAGCACAAACTGCCATGTGGCCACGGGACACTTTCCTCCGGCAGCCCTGAATAATATAAGACCGCGCTGAATTGTGATAACCGGCCGTCGTGACGTCACTGGGCTGCGTTGTGACGTCACGGGTCGGTCGTTGCATCACTGTCGCCAGGCCGCGTGTCAGCTGAGAGCAAGATGTTAGATGCCATCGGGTCTGGACGTGCAAACGAGTGTTTTATGCGTTCATGCAAATTGGTTTCTATGCGCCATTCAGTCACCCTATTCATTTGCATGGGCAAGCAGTTTCTTCGGAAAAGAATGTTTTAACGCTAAACCACTAAGAGCTGCACAAATAAAACCAGTATTATTCAAGCGACATACCTCAGCGTCAGCATGGTTCATTATTGTCTGGAGGTGAAGAACTTTCTGCTCAAATGATTCTCACCGTAGTTTTCACGCATCGTTTCGCCTGTGGTCCTCATGCGAACTTTCAGCATTCGCTTTTCAGCTGCGAATCCCCACCTTCTCGTGACTTGGATATCACCTGAACGCTATAGTGTCTCATGACTCATGTGATACTGCATCAGCAATGAGCGTCGATTGCCGATCGTCGGTTCGAACCGACTCAGTCCCGAACCCGCCGTTCGCGGCCGCGGGTCAGTCTTTGCTCTGAACTCAGCCAAGGTGACGCGACTAACAGCATGGAGGCTACGACGACGGTTTGGGAGACACCGATTGACGTGTCAATGGAGGAGTGTTCTTTTATTCGTAAGATGCTTGTGAATTTGTTGTTTAATTTTATTTTAAATGTGCCACAAGCTTTACCATGCAATTAGATGTTCAATTCTGCGCGCTCGGAATACCTCGTTTGTTTTTTCATTGTACATTTATACCCAGATCTGCTTATTCCCGTTTCATGGTTATGCTGCAGATCTGAAGGGAACGGGTAGAGTCATACTCATAACTCGAATGCCATCGTAAATTACATGCGAATTCACCTTTTGACTGCGACCACTTGCTGCGTTCCACGTGCCGGTCAAAACCAGTGTGATCTGGTTCAGTGCAGGATAACGGAAAGAGGCCACTTGGGGGTGACCGTGAGCTGTTGCAATCTGGCAAACCGTCTGCTAAGTGTCTTATTTTTAGCATCACCTTTTGGCGAAGTGGTTCGTAAGCACAACAGGTTTTCTTCAAGCTAACTAGTTAGTTCCGTTCTGGTGATCTTTCGTGCCTCTGGACTGAAATACCAGGAGCACTGCGGCAGTCGTGGGCCCCCGTGTCCTGGCGTTTTGTTAGCACCGGCCAGGCGAGGCCAGCCAGACGTGTTCGCACTTCTGGGAAGGCGCCGGCGGCCGGTCGAGGCTCGCGCAGGGCAGGTGTGGCGACCGACGTTCGAGGAACCCCGTCCCGTGACTGGTGACGTCAAAGGGGGCGGGGCCAATACCGGGCCCCGTCTGGACAGGCCCGCCGGCCAATGGGAGGCGGCGGTGGGCTCAAATACGAGGCTGCCTTTTTTTGCACCCCAGACGTGCCTCCTCCAGGTAAAGCGTGAATCAGCAACTTTCAGGGTGCGGCGCTAGCACCGTTTGTTTGGATACCGGATCCGAAACATAACTGCATTTTAGGAAGTTGGAATTTGTGGCGAAGAGGAATTAGGTACTGACATTTGGTGGAGAGTGGGCCAAACGATATTGTCTGAAACGTTTTTTTTACATCTCTTTAGCCGCCTCATTGTTACTGACATTATCGTTACGTAGAGGAGAAATTTGGAGGCTATTAAATCCAATTGATTCCAATTACGCCTGAGCGTAGCAAGTAATGCAAGATTAAGGTGTGGAGCTGCTAGTAAAATTAAGCACTTCAGCACCTGACCTGGCCACTCGAACCAGCTGAGCTGTCGCTAACTGAGCAGGGAACTCCACCCCTGCGCATAATGCATGCATTAGCATTTATGCTGGGTTAGAATTCGATAGGGTGTCGCCCGTTACCCTGTTGGTAGGCAGCAACAGGGGCTTGGCTCCGTTACCTAACCGCTTACGAATAGATCGCCCGTGCCTTCTTTGAACCACCGCAATTGGGCACGGTCACCGAGCTGCGCATGCGCGTCAGATGATAATTATTTCAGCATACCACCGATCTCAGTGAATTTGTTCTGCAAGGAATGCATCCTGAATTCAGTTGGCTACTTCTAAAGATGATGGGTAGTGCAGCACGCGTCTTTATTAGCTTTCGCGACTGTTCTAACGCAGCCGAACCTCGCATTGTCAAATAAAGCTGTTATCAGGTTATTTCCAAGCTGATATTCAGCTACTTTGGGCTCGACTTGCTTCAATAACGGATCATCGATTACCGGGTGACAATTATCCGCATGACCCGAGTACAAACCAGGATTTCAAACCACACAACTCTTTCACGATCAAGTAAACAGAACATCTATCTATACTACTATTTGAGGAGGGTGCGTCTGTCCGTTACCGAGGTCCCGACTTGGTGGTGCTTTGCGTGGACTACAGGCCAGACCGTTGCACCTAGCCCGGTGAAATTTGCACAACTTATAGATCAAGGATGCGCGACGTGCCTTTGAGGGGTCTCAGCTCGATCGGGTCGTTAGTGAGCGCGTGGCGCGTGCCCAAAAAGTGCAAATTCGCGTCATAGACTTTACATGTATAAATCGGCGTGCGAAATCGGGCGAAAACGGCTAATTTTGGCCGACACGGGTCCAGTCCCCGTGCAATATCTTGGTGACCAGGGATCCGACCGGCACGGGGAAAACAGCATCGTGTACAGAATTGAACGGGCTATTGAATGGTGTGCAATGCAGAGGATAGCACGCGCCACGTGCACCGGAGAGGGCACTTTTATTTGAAAAATTGCTGTTTTTGACGGATTTTGAGATTACATTTATTTTTAGGTGACCGTCAGACGGAACGAGTTGAAACAACGCCTATTGGCAAGAGAAATGTACCGCCTCTCATGAAAAATTGTGAAAAGCTGATTGATCCAAATCAAGGTGGTACAAATCACGGGAGTAAATGGTGTTTGTCAATTTTGTGCCACTTTATTAATCACACGGGTTTTGCTCCATGACCTGATATCTCTGGCAATTAAAAATGGCACCGTTGGAAAGAGCATTCAATTCTGTCCAATATTCACTCTTCATTTTTGCATGACGGGCAACAGTATTCTTAAAAATGTAAATGTTCCAAACCATTACATTGCCATTTTTAGCGAAATTCATCGATGGCCCTCAAAAGACTTCACGTCAGTTTTCCAATCATTCTATAGAAGAACGCATGATAATACGACACGGGCACCTCGATGCGATGGATCTTTTTTGTTTCACTACAAAATGTTTTGCCGTCAAAAAGCAATCGAACGAAATGGATACCAACCAAATCGACACAGACTAACCCAATACCCACGGGTCAAAAATAACCCTTCTTCGCGTTGCGGAGCACGCGGGTAACCCTAGTCATAACCAAAGGTTTGTAATCCGTGGATTAATTCTTTGCTAATGGCGTGTAAACCACATTTGTCCGTGGCTTATCACGGCATTAATCACGCCTAGACATGCATTGGCGTTGGCTGTAATGCAGCATGTAATGCATTGATGGCTATTGAGTGCATAATTGATACATTCCATTGCTATCTGAACACGTGCACCTTACCATAGTCCCTGCCTTTTCGGAACCGCCTTCATTATGACGTAGAGGTATGAATTGAGCAGTCGGTCTGGATCGGTCCTGTCTTACTCTGCTTTTGTATTTCTATGAACGGTAGTGGTTTTATGAGTGGGATTCGGGGCGGGAGATCATACCCGTCTGCTGTATTCGATGTGACTTGGTTTTCCGGCTTCAGCCGACACTAAGTGCGCTAACCTGCACCAATCGGATCATGTCAGACTGAGTGTCAGACTTCGATTATCTGCATCCACGTGGAGAACAGAGCAGGATGATGTGATCACGGACCACTGACGCGTGCTGGAAATGAGATTTTTACCGCCGCCGTTTTTTGTGTCTGTTGTCAGGATCGTCGTTGTGTGATTACGACATCGGCTCCGTCACTGACGCTGACGCTGACGTCCTTTCCCCTCAGGCGAAGCAGCTGAGGGCACCATGACGGCGTGTCTCGGAAGGACGTGGGAACGTGGCTACAACCACTTCACCGACAGCTCCATCAGCCTCAACAACAGCCTAGAAGACGACGATGTAAGTGTTCATAACCTTGCGTGACAATGCATGATTCATCGAGATGAATCGCCGCCGAAAAGAATCCCTTTTCGTTTTTCTATTTGGGATGATAATTGAGAAACGTCTTCATAGGAGCCACTCCGTTTGTTTATCCCCACATTTCTAGGACCCTTTTCCTATAAGGAGTACTCCAGCACTGCAAATGCCTATCGAACCGTTTGGATGTCATGAAACCTGATCGGGACTCGCTGCTGGAAGAGCTGTTCCGCTGTGTTTACACAAGAGGCGCCCTGCCAGCGACCCGCCCCGGTCCTCTCCCATCCGACTGTGCAGCCTTTCTCTTGGCCACTTGGGCTCTGTCACTGCTCGAAGGCGGTAGTGGACGTGTGCGTCTGTCGTGATTCGCCATCAACGGCTCCATCCACGCCGCGACTTGCTACCCAGTGCTTCTTTGTGGTCTTCTGTGCTCCGATTCGACCTCTGAAAGCAGCGTTCGACGAACCTCGAGTTGCTCGTTTGCTCATGCGCGTGAAGTGGCACCGTCTGCGAGATGACGTCACACATGATGGCGTCACTCATGATGACGTCACCGGTCGACTGGGCAGAAGGACCAGGCGCCCTGTGCCGCCGCTGCGCACCATGTCGGGATTTTCGCCAGCTGACGGCTTCCCGGTACGTTGTCGATGTTTGATTAGTTTTTTTTTTTTAGTACGGTGTTTCGACACTCTTCGCCCCAGACCCTCGGCAATTTTCTGTCGTTCCCTTAGGTTTTCATTCATTGTTTCTCGTCTTTCGTTATTTCTATTTCCTCGCATTCTCATGTCCTCCGCCCGTCATGATCCTTTCCCTACCATATTTCCTTCTCTACCCACTTCCACGTATGTACCTCTGTTCTAGCATCCATTCATCCATTTCTGGGTTCTATCATGATTGACGACTTTGCCTTCCTGTGTCTGAGACCCCCAGACTCGCCTGTGTTCTGCCAACATTGTCATGTTGTGTCTGGCTCTGGCAAACACCCTCACCTGGAATGCGCCGCTCCGGTCACGGGATCTCTCACGTCACCGGGCTAAAATCGGCGGAACGAAGCACGTGCTTCGCGACGCCGCGGAACCTGTGCCATTCGCGGAATGTTTATGTATTGGGTGTTTTCGAGTGAGGCATTCTCTTGGAAGCGCTAAGGTGCTGTGATTCACGCCTCCTGGCTCCTAGACAGGTCTGAGGGACACGAGAGCGGCGCAGCGGCGCAGGCAATCCCTCCTTTCACGAAACGCTATGCTTGTGTGTTAACTTATGCTATGCATAGCGGAGTTTTAGTTTTACCTTTGCAAAACACTTGTGGATATCTGAATGTAGGTGTGTTGCACGTACGTGGCACATACCTGCCTAATAGATAATATTCAATAGGAAGATATGCAGTTCCACCTCTAAGATCCCGTGCGTCTCTTCAAGGAGAAACACTTATCCGTAACTTTATGTCTGTCTCATCTAAGGACGAGCAATATCATTACTGAGGCCTCATGAGTCGCATCTAAAGACTTGCGATGCCTTTCCACCCACCTTTGATACTCATCCCGCGGCCGTCGCCCCCCCCCCCATCCTCGGCTATAATACGCGCCGCTCCAGAGGCTCATTCGTTTCGATGAACTGCGGAGGTGCGCGGCTCGTGCCTTCCCACCGATCAATGCCCCCCCCCCCACCCCCACCATGCCCCCCGTCACTCCCCCTCCGTCGGTCTGCGTCTGAGGTCTACCGACGCAGTTCTGCCTAATCAAGGCGCGTGCCCGCTAACCCCAGGCCGAGCCGCGCTGGCAATTTGCGTCGCTCGTACCGGTGTGCCACTATCTGTACAGGACCGGACAGGTTCTCTTTGCGCATTTTGCCGATACCATCCAAAGACAGATATATCTACCAGAGATGGACGCGTGCCAAAAACCTACGTCAACGCGCGCGCCGAGTCGTCGACCGTTCAACCCCTTTCGCTCGAGCCCATGGAATTCCCCGGCCTTCGTTCCGCGCGGCGGAGGCAACTGCGCAGTTGTCGCCGATGACGTCACGGGCCGCGCGGCACGCACACACGGCGGGGCGCTTTCTCTTCATGGTGGTGAGCTGAGCTGGCGGCTGTCGCAGCCCGGGGCCGCTGCGAGCTGGCGAGTTACGGCCTTCAGCCTCCATAGCTGCAGTTTCGGCACAGCCTTCTGCTAGCTGCAGTCGTGAGATCGCCAGCGATCAGACGGTACTCGAGATGAAATTTCAGTCCGTTTTTATTTCATTGTTAGCAGCGTCCGGATTTGTGAGCCCCTGCAGACGTTTAGTAAATCTAGTTTTTATTTGATTAAATGCCTGTTTTGCAATGATGGCCATAACGTTGCTTTGAAGGTTAAGGAATAGCGGCATCCTCACGGTGTGTTCTAAATTCGCCTTTTCTTCACGCGCACGTCATTTTGGTGCTAAATTCACTGAACTCAAATTATCATCAAACACGATGATGAGATAAATGATTTTAGAATATTTTCTTTGATGTTGTAAGACATACTGCAAGTATTTGTTTTGCTTCCAAGTTCCCACCATCATTGGTGGGTCTCATGGCCTCATTTTTCAACGAAATGAGTGTTGGGGTGGGGGAGGAGGGGAGAAGAGGTAAGCTCCTTAATCATTCGTTTCATCTACTGACGAAGGCTTATGCCGAATTAATCCTTTTGTTCAGAGCACTTCTGCCTTGTCCTTTGAACCAGTTGAAGCTTACGCCTACGTTTCGTAATGACAGCATCATTCCATGAGGATGAATGCCTTTGACCACGGGGCTCACTATAATGCTCTCAGACGAGGCTGTCCCCGCGGCAGAGGTGCTCATGCGTTGGTCCACATCCGCCCACACACGGACTCCGGGCTGACTGGCCGCCGTGTCGTTACAGCGCCGTGTCGTTACATAAAGCACGAGTCACGGTCGTTGACGGGATGGAATCTGAAGTCGTTACATAACGACCGCGCTATAGTCCGAGGCCTCAACGGCAGGTGTGTAACACAGACTGGGAAAACGCCGTCCAGTAGTGACACACAAACAGAACTGGTTCTCGCAGAAAAGTGTGTAAAGACGAGACGTGTCTGCCCGAGCAATGACGGTGCGATTCGCACTGTTCGCAGCGTTAATGCTCGTACTGGGTCAATTGTTGCTCATTTAATCATTCCACTCCACTTCCCGCTTTGTGGTTTCGATCTAGTTTCTGTATTTTTGGACACATCTGTGATCTCAATCGTTTCCGGTTTCTCACAAAGCCGATCTTATCTGGCTGTCAAAAAATAAGTATTTTTCCGTCAACGACCTTTCGTACCCTTCCTATAATATCTTGCAATGCAGTTTGAATCGAGAGCGGTAGCCATTTATATAATGTCCGCGCTGAGGCTTCCCAAGAGGTTATCTCTCCTGGACTTGGCTTATCTTGCGCGTTTGTACCCGTTGACCTTACCCCAAGTCGAAACCGTGAAATGCGCCCGGTCATCGTTCGGCGTATTCATGTCCATATGTCAGATCTTTCACGCTCCGTCAAATTCTTACTAACGGTACGCTAGAGAGAACTTGTAGCTCAGGATAGGTCGCATTTTACGACGCCGATTGCTCGGAAGACACGTAATGCTGAAATTGAGCGATATAGCGCTGATGTAGTAGACGTTCATGTCAAAAGATCTTAACGTTCTCTTTAGTTTTCAGTTTTCACCATTGACATGTGCATGATGACGATTCCTGCATGGTTTCAAACTGTCCGATTACGCTTACGTCTCGAATGGCAATGAATAGCGACTCGCATTCATTTTTCATTTCTTTCTTTTTTTTTACCTGAAGCGGTCAACGTGCGAGTGCCTATTTACGTTTATTTTTTATCGAATGCCTTGTTTTCGCTTAGCGTAAATACTACTACATATTTCGCTTGTTTACATTAAACGCTGCCGCGTAACTTTTTTTGGCATATTGTGAATTCAACGAAACATTTTCGTATGTCGCACCTCTCACCTTTTCCACTGACCCACTTTTCACCATTTCTAGAACATCCCTGGTGCATCGCCCGCACTTCTCATAGCTCCTCGCCTGCCTGACGTGCGGCGGCGCGCATCGTGTCTTCTCCCGTCCACCTACTCCCCCCCTCTCCCTCTCCCCTCCCTCCCGACTCTCGTAACTGCGTAGTAGCCGCGCCGCGCGGCGCCGCTCCTCCTGCGTACGACGCAGAAACGTGCGTGAGGGGGACGGTCCGGTCCGGTCGGGGGAGGGGCGGGGCGGGCGGCCCAGGCAGGTGGCCTCAATTGCTGCGCCTCGCGGCTGCGTGAGCCGACGCATGGCCGCGCCAGCTGAATGTGCGTGTGTCGGGCCAGCTGTATGTGTAATGTGCGTGTCCACGAGGAGAGCCGAACAACTGCGCGCCTGTCAAACTGAATTGTAGGTATGCGAAGCTCAGAGAGTTGTATGCGGAACCGTCGCATTGTCCTTGCTGCTCTCCACACAAAGGGCCTCTCAGTATCGCTGCTTGGCCGGTGAAGATCGAAGCTGGAAATCAGTCGCTCGGAGCCAAATAATGATACGCCTTGTGACTCATGAAATACTCTGGATCGTATCAGATTTCCCGTTATTAGTCTGATTAGCCGGGCTGGGACAGGGGACTATTACGCGGCTCTGCCGTGGGCCCGGGGCGCTGGTCGTTACATCGACTGTGGCCGTGCCTTTGACGTAGTGGGCTCAGTTATTAGTTACTGCTGGGCTATCCGTTATTTACAGAGGCGGCAGGACTTCCCGTAGTAGGTATCCGGATTTTGAGATTGATCCTAACCGGTAATGAGCAATCAACCAATGGGTGTGTAAATTTAATCTCACTCGGTGATTGTGAACATATGTTTTGTATAGGGATATGACGACCGTTGTGTATATCGGATTGTGGCTAAATTTATTTGATAACCGAACATTTCGTAATTAAAGGGACTAGCCCACCTTTAACATGGGGTTTGAGTTGAGAATGAGATAGCCAAGTTTG